GGCGCATGGAGCGTGGCCTTGGGGCAAGCACAGTGTGGTGGCCCAGCAGAGCAGCCATAGTGGGTCCCACTCCCTGTAGTCATAGGTTGTGGGGAAAATGGAAGTTCCTACAGCCGGGATCCTCACCTGACCCTAAATTACTTGATGATGTAATCGGCCTTCTGCTAGGCTACTGCTTCCACACCCTAGGCAATAAGCTATTACTGACTGAGTTACTATATAAAGAGCTCTGCCCAATTCCCTGGGTGGAGGCAGAGATGAAGGAGGATTACAGATCTGCAGACTGCTGGAGGCATACATGATTCTAGTGCTCTGTATATCCCCTGGAGAACACAGCTTGGTATAAATCCTTTTACCCTATGGAGAAAGTGAAGGTTCCTATGGCCAAGATTCTCACCTGGCCCTGGTCAGCTTGCTCACTACACATGTATGGGCAGTATGTTATCAGTGACTCTTATATAAAGAGCTCTGCCCAGCACTCTGGTCTGCATGGCTGCAGGAGAGCAGAGGCTGGAGTGGTGGCAGCACCAAGGACAGAGACTGAGACGGCTGTGGGGACAGAGAGGCCCAGAGGCAGAGACCTGCTTGCTGCGTGCAGACTCTCTCTGAGTGGACGGGATTCTAGTGACTGACCTGCCACTGTGGGAATAAAGTTGGGTATAAACCCCTTCAGCCCAAGAAGGTTCCATTGTCATTTTTGGTCTCATTTAATCCATAGTGAACTTGTCTGGGGCTGAAACCCATTGGCAAGACGTGGCTGAAGCCCGACCTTCCTGCCCCAGGTGAGTCCCAAGAACTGCACCCCGGAGCTATTGTGGGAAGGTGGGTGTAAATAAGGAAGCTGTGCATTTCTCCTTGCAGCTTAGGCAGTCACTTCCTTTCACATGCTCAAGGCCCTGTTGACCTGAGCTCTCCTGCAAGAAATTTCTGGCTTTTCATAGCTTCTGAAGGTTCTTTGTTTGTTTTTCCCTCAATTGCTCCTATATTCCTAAGCTGCCTTTGGTTTGGTTTGTTGGTATTGGTGATGGTGGTATTTTTGGTTGTTTCTGCAAAACATTTCTGCTTTAGTTTATGTGGCATTGAGAACCTGGAAGATCGGAGGGCATTAGACTTTAGGCCAGACTTTCCCACATACTTTGGTAAACCTGTGAGGTAAGTGCCTTGAGCAGCCCTAAAAAGCACCAAAAATCTCTTGCCCCTACTGAGAAGAGCTGGGATGGAATAAGCCACTCTAGACCTTGGGGAAACCACTTTGGGTCCTGCCCTTACATTTGGTCATGATGCCATCTTCATCTCCAGCTGAAGGACAGTAGGCACCTGTTCTTTAAATGTGGTATCATGCAGGGAAAAGAACTCAATGGATAGTCTGACCTCTAGTCTCTGTGGCTTTGCCAAGTCTCTCACTGGATCCCCATTTCTGCATTTATATGGGGTAACAAAAGCATCCCTGCCAACCTCACAGGGCTGACATGAAGACCCCATCAAAATGAGAGGGGGGCCAGAAAGCAGCAGCAACTGTACCATGCCATGCCAGTGTGCTGGCACTCATCAGACCAACACCTCTCAGGGTTCTCCTGGGCATTCCTCATCTTGAGGGATGTTAATAGGTGTTATTGAAAAAACAAATGCTTTTCCTCCTTTAAAATAGGTTTGGGAAGCACTAGGCTAACAAAGTTTAAAGTGGTTCTGCACTGCAGGATTTCTCAGACACTTTATGGTACTGTGAATCTCCATGAATGTTTCCAATGCGCAGGACAATCTTCTTTTCGTGGGTTCCACAGAACACCCTCTATTAGCAATGCCGTATTAGATAACACAGTGATCCTTGAGTGGAGGACGTAGGGGTCAGATTTGGTGCAGCTGTAATGCTGCTGCTCACATCATGGGACCTCAAACACACTGGGACAGGTTGTTAGTTTAACTAGTGGATAGGTCATGAGGAGCTGCAGCCTGAAAGACCTAGGTAGGGCACTTGATACCAGAAAAAACCCAGGAGAAGTCCTTGCCACATGTAAAGATCTGACCAAGATCTCCTGGACTCACCATGGGCTCTTGCAGAGTCCCACACAGGCTCCTGAGTCATACTTCTATCAAGAGTTATATGTGGTGGGGTTTATCCTCACATATATTAACTCTCACCTTAACTTTCTCTAAAGCTTAATCTCTCAAATGATGAGAAAACATTGCCCTGCTTTCTCATTTACTCCCTGGGGTGCTCACTGGTTCCAGAAATGCCTCAGGCGGTCCTGCCATCTCACGGTTGCCCACTTTTCCCCTTTTCTCTTCTCCCTGCTGTTCTGAGTCCTACCTGTGGTCAAGGTCCGGCTTCCCTCTGAGGATATCCTTTTTTGCTTAGAAAGACTGGACTCTGGTCCCAGTTAGCTGGCAGTGTGCTGAGGCTTCCTCATCTGTAAATGGAGACCACAGCACCTGCACTGAGGCTGTGGCCACAGACGGCCACCTGGGCTCTGCTACAGCAGCTCCTTCAGCAGGCTCCCAGGATGCCCCCACTCTGGGACAGCCTGCTGAGACTGTTCTTCTTGACAGGAGCGGAAATCTGCCTCCTGGAACCTCTCCCCCCTGGGTTACCCCAAACAGCCCATGAGGAAGGCCAGTTGAGAATAACATAAAACAACCAAGGACTTCTTATCTTCTCTTTTCAAACCAGAGGCCTCCAGTTCCTCTTAACTCTTCTCTGAGAGGGGTTTGCAGACCCCCCTGAGACTAAATGCTGGCTGTCAAGCTCCCTCAAACTGGGGCCTCTGGGGTGCCCATGAACCCTACCTACAGAGTTTTTAATCTTTTTTTCCTAACTTTTCTTTATCATTTGAAGCATGTAGTGCAGTCCTGCCTACATAGCAGATATTTGATAAACAGTGAATTCATTGACTTGTCAACTTAGATTTCCTTCACTGTGCCAAAGCTTTTTTGTTTTATTCGGTCTCAACTGTTAATTTTTGCTTTTGTTCCACTTGCCTGAGGGAGATAGATCCAGTAAAATATTGCTTAAGTTGATGTCTAAGAGACTACTGCCTATGTTTTCTGTTAGGAGTTTTATGTTTTCAGGTCTTACATTTAGGTCTTTAATCTGTTGTGAACTTGTGTGTGTGTGTGTATGGTGTAAGAAAGTGGTCCAGTTTTATTCTTTTGCATGTAGCTATCCAGTTTTCCCAACACCACTTATTGAAGAAAGAGTCTTTTCCTCATTGTATATTCATGCCTTCTTTGTTGTATATTAATTGACCATATAACTCATACAACTCATACCAAAAAAATAAAAAATAAAAATAATCTGATTAAGAAATAGGTGGAGGACCTGAACATTTTTCCAAAGAAGGCATACAGATAGTCAAAAGAAACACAAAAAGATGTGCATCACTAATCATCAGGAAAATGCAAATCAAAACCACAATGAAACATCACCTCACACCAATCAGAATGGCTACTATCTCAAAGACAAGGAATAGCAAGTGTTGGCAAGGATGTGGAGAAAAGGGAGCCCCTGTGCATGGTTGATGGGAATGTAAATTGATGCAGCCACTATGGAAAACAGTGTGGAGGTCCCTCAAAATATTAAAAATAGAAATATCATACAACCCAGTAATTCTACTTCTTGGTATTTACCCAAAGAAAACAAAATCACTAATTTGAAAAGATATGTGTGTCCCTATGTTCATTGCAGCATTAACACCAATAGCCAAGATATAAAGGCAACCTAAACATTCATTTATAGATCAATGGATAAAGACTAAAGATAAATAAATGGACAAAGAGGTGGTTCAAATATACAATGCAATATTACTCAGCTATAAAAGAATGTAACCTTGCCATTTGTGACAACATCTATAGACTTAGAGGACATTATGCTATTTGAAATAATCCAGGCAGAGAAATACAAATATCAAATGATTTTACTTATATGTGGAATATAAAAAACTATGCAAATGAATAAACAGACAAATAGTAACAGACTCATAAATTCAGAGGACAAACTGGTGGTTGCTAGAGGTGAACGGGTTGGGGGGATAGGTAAATAGGTGAAGGGATAAAGAGGTACAAATTTCCAATTATAAATAAGTCATAGGGATAAAAAGTCCAGCATAGCAAATATAGTCAATAATATTTTAATAACTTTGCATGATGACAGATGGTAGCCACACCTATCAGGGTGAGCCTTCATATTGTATATACATGTTGAATCACTCTGTTGTACATCCAAAACTAATATAACATTGTATGTCAACTCTACTTCAAGAAAATCACACTGTACATGGTGCCACAAGTACTGTCTGAGCACCTGCTCTGTGCCAAGCATCTTGCTAGGTTCCCTGTTCACATCAGCACACAGAGCAGGCACAAGGCTCTGCCCTGGGAAGCTTATGTCACAGAGTGTTCTATCCACACATTATGTTTGCTTAGCCCTGTATATTCTACAGAGCCTTTTTATTGCATTTATCTTAGCTGGTTCTGTGGCAACCCTATATAGTTATTATTATTTCAGTTAACAGATGAGAAAGCTGAGATCCAGCAAGATCAAATGATAAACCAAAGGTCACACTGCTGTGTGCACTACAACTGAGACTCAAACTCGAGTCTTCATGGCTTGTCTAACCCTATGCCACAGCTTGCCTCACCAAAGTCTGCTGTTGCGCTCTCTAGAATAATTAGGTTAACCCTTAATCATCATTTCTTCCTTCATAGGGAAATTCTGATTTCATTTCTTGTCCTCCCTCCCCATGGGTCAAAGCAATGCTCATTTAAGAATTATCCACCCTTCCAAAAAATGAGCAATGCCAAGGAAACTCAGAATCCCTAAAGTAGCTGCTGAACATAGCTGCATTCATCTCAAGGATTACTCAACTCAGTGTTTAGTATGTAATCTCAATCATAAAAAAGAAGAACTACACCAAATTTGATATCTCTCTGAAATCTTGCAAAACCTGAGAAGCTAGCATATTTAAAGAGGAAGCTGTGTTATTTATTACCTTACTAATGTCTGTGATCAGATGGTATATCTCCGTTTCAAGAGGGGCGAGACCTAAGCCATCCCTGGATGCATAAAGGACTTTGCTAAATTAACAGGTACCACTTGTTTCTCTTCTTCTCATCTGGGCAAGCACTTATTGAATGCAACACAAGTTGTTTATTTAGAAGAGATTTCCAGGTAGACTGTTAGGTTTCCAAGAAAAAGGAGATGGAGCGAGGGGTGTATGCAGGTGGAAGCAATACATCTCAGGAACGCTCTTAGATGGAGGAGGCAGAGGAGAAGGTGGTCTACCATAAGTTAGTAGGTAGTATGGGGCCAAAGTAGGAGGGTATATTGTGAAATATGTCCATTTTCTTTCTGCTTTCTCCCATTTTCCCTTCTTTCTCCCCTATATACCATGATTAGTTTGCTTTTCCAATTCATCCAAACTTGCTCTTTTATACTTCTTGACTCCCATGACTGTGTCCATGTTACCTTTGCTGTGATTTCATAAATTCCCAACTATTAAGAATATGACCACCCCAAAAGGGTAACATCTAGTAGTTTTGTGTTTATGGATATTGACTTTTAGGAAACAGTCAGTGAAAATATAATTTATGTGTATGTACATATATTTACATATCACATTTGTAATATGTATATATACTTCAATCTTAATTAAAAGTCTACTCTGTCAGACTATTAGGTGAATCAGTTGATCAGTTGATTTGGTCTCTTTGTCTGGTTTTACAAGGTTGACTGTTTCTTTTCCTGGAACTGTATTAGAGGATAGGGATAGAAAGCCTTCCTAATATTCTGGGAAACCTTGCATTGGTCGGGGATGGAAGCTGACTGTTGTTTGACAAATGTTTCAAGAGAGGATGGTGGGAATATGGGGTCTTTAGTATGGAAGCAATAGGAGTTGGAGTGTATCTGCAGCTCTTTTCAGAAGGTGGTAATCAATACATTAAACCATGCACACTGAGTTATTTCTCCTTGGGGAAGAATTGTGTGACTCAATAAGGAAAAAGCATACATACTCAGCAGAATAAAGTGGGTAAAGGACACAAAGAGGTAATTTACAGAAAAGGAAATACAAATGACTAATAATTAGTTTTAAAAAATCTTAGTAACTAAATAAATGTTAATTACAAAAATAATGACATCCTTTTTGCTCACATAATTGGCCAAGTAATTTTTTCTTTTCAGTCTTCTCCCTGTTGATGGATGTTTACTGAGACTGGCATGATCAACTATTAGTGCCAAGAGTGTATATATGCTCACACTTTCTGGAAGCAATTTAGCAAAATGCATCACTTAGGAATATGATTACAGGTCGAAATTGTGCTTTAGGAAATCTACTTTAAAGAAATAATAAAAAATACAGGCAAAGGTGTTTATTGCAGCATTATTTACAAAAGTGCAAATTGGGAGCAACTTAATCACACAAGATAAGACTAAATAACCATTTATACAATATATTGGAGTTGTTAACAAAATCTATTTTCAAAGAATTTTTAACCATGTAGAACTAGATGCAGGATATAAAATTTAAAATAACAGGATAAAAAATGATGTACAAGTATGATATCTATTATAACAAACATGGTACCTAGGAAAGAGATAGCAGTTATTTCTCCATGGTACAGGTAGGGACAGTAGTACCAGGGACTAGGAATCTGAGTCCTCTGGTTAAACTGAACAACCCCCAACCATGTTATTTTATTGCACAGGCATACCTTCCCTATGAAAACATATTCTTCAGATTATCTCCTTCAACTAAATAACATATCAGCCTGCATTCAAATACTAAATATGAGCTACATTTCTGAAATGAAACATACAATGGAGGGATTTAAAAGCAGATTAGATGTAGTAGAAGAGACATTAAATGGAATAGAAATTATAGAAGAGGAATACAAAGAAGCTGAGGCACAGAGAGAAAAAAGAATTTATAGGAATGAAGAATATTGAGAGAACTTTGTGACCAATCCAAATGGAACAATATTCACATTATAGGGATACCAGAAGAAGAAGAGATAGAAAAAGGAATAGGATGTGTCTTTGAAAAGGTAATTGCTGAAAACTTACCCAGTCTGGGGAAGGAGATTGTCTGTCAGGCCATGGAGGTGCACAGATCTGCCAACACAAGGGACCCAAGGAAGACAACACCAAGACATATAATAATTGAAATGTAAAAGATCAAGGATAAGGCCAGACTTTTAAAAGCAGCTATAGAGAGAAAAAAGATCACAGACGAAGGAGAACACATGAGGCTATCATCAGACTTCTCAACAGAAATCTTACAGGCCAGAGGGAGTGGCATGATGTATTTAATGCAATGAAGTAGAAGGGCCTCGAATGAAGAATATTTTATCTGGCAAGATTATCCTTTAAATTTGAAGGAGGGATTAAACAATTTCCAGGTAAGCAAAAACTGAGAGAATTTACCTCCCAGTGCATTTTGGAGGGACTGCTATAGATGGAAGTATTCCTAAGGCTAAATAGCTGTCACCAGAGGAAATAAACTATAGCAAAGAAAGTGGAACAATTAATTACTAAGCAAATGCAAAATTAAATAAAATACACACAAAGTCAGTCAAGGGATACACAAAGAGCACACAATATGACACCTAATATATACAGAATGGAGGAGGAAGCAAATGGAGGAAAACAAAAAAGAACATTTAGGTTGTGTTCATAATAGCATACTAAATGAGTTAAGTGAGTAAAATTAGACTGTTAGATAGTAAGGGAATTACCCTTGAACCTTTGGTAACCATGAATCTAAAGCCTGCAATGGCAATAAGTACATACCTATCGATAATCACCCTAAATGTAAATGGTCTGAATGCACAAATCAAAAGACATAGAGTCACTGAATGGATAAAAAACAAGCCATGTCTATATGCTCCCTATAAGAGACTCACTTCAAACCCAAAGACATACACAGACTGAAAGTAAAGGGATGGAAAAAGACATTTCATGCAACTAATAGGGAGAAAAAATCAGGAGTTGCAGTACTTGTATCAGGCAAAATAGACTTCAAAACAAAGAAAGTAACAAGAGACAAAGAAGGACATTACATAATGATAAAGGGCTCAGTCCAACAAGAGGATATAACTGTTATAACTATCCATGCACTGAACACAGGATCACTTACATATGTTAAATAAATACTAAAAGAATTAAAGGGGGGAAATACAATACAATGCATTCATTTTAGGAGACTTCAACACATCACTCACTCCAAAGGACAGATCAACCACACAGAAAATAAGTAAGGACACAGAGGCACTGAATAGTGTATTAGAACAGATGGACCTAATGGATATCTACAGAACACTCCATCCAAAAGCAACAGGATACACATTCTTCTAAAGTGCACATGGAACATTTACAAGAATAGATCATATACTAGGCCACAAAAAGAGCCTCAGTAAATTAAAAAAGATTGAAATTGTACCAACAAGCTTCTCAGATAATAAAGATATGAAACTAGAAATAAATTACACAAAGAAGACAAAAAAGCCCACAAACACATGGAGGCTTAACAACATGCTCCTAAATAATCAATGGATCAATGACCAAATAAAAACAGAGATCAAGCAATATATGGAGACAAAAAACAATAATTCAACACTACAAAACCTGTGGGATGCAGCAAAGGCCATGCTAAGAGGGAAGTATAATGCAATACAGGCCTACCTCAGGAAAGAAGAACAATCCCATATGAAAAGTCTAAACTCACAATTAACAAAACTAGAAAAAGAAGAACAAATGAGGTCCAAAGTCAGTAGAAGGAGGGACATAATAAAGATTAGAGCATAAATAAATAAATTCAAGAGGAATTTAACAATAGAAAGAATCAATGAAAGCAGGAGTTGGCTCTTTGAGAAAATAAAAATAGATAAACCCCTAGCCAGACTTATCAAGGAAAAAAGAGAGTTTACACACATAAACAGAATCAGAAATGAGAAAGTAATAATCACTACAGACACCAAAGAAATACAAAGAATTATTAGAGAATACTATGAAAAATTATATGCTAACAAACTGGATAACCTAGAAGAAAAGGACAACTTTCTAGAAAAATACAACCTTCCCAGGCTGACCCAGGAAGAAACAGAAAATCTGAACAGACCAATTACCAGCAATGAAATAGAATTGGTAATTAAAAATCTACCTAAGAACAAAATGCCTGGACCAGATGCTTTCAGTGCTGAATTTTATCAAACATTTAGTGAAGACCTAATACCCATCCTCCTTAAAGTTTTCCAAAAAGTAGAAGAGGAGAGAATACTCCCAAACTCATTCTACAAGGCCAGCACCACTCTAATACCAAAACCAGGCAAAGAAAACACAAAAAAAGAAAATTAAAGGCCAATATCCCTGATGAACATAGATGCAAAAATACTCAACAAAATATTAGTAAAATGAATTCAAAATACATCAGAAAGATCATCCATCATGATCAAGTAGGATTTATTCCAGGGATGCAAGGATGGTACAACATTTGAAAATCCATCAACATCATCCACCACATCAACATAAAGAAGAACAAAAACCACATGATCATCTCCATAGATGCTGAAAAAGGATTTGACAAAATTCAACATCCATTCATGATAAAAACTCTCAACAAGTGGGTATAGAGGGCAAGTACCTCAACATAATAAAGGCCATATATGACAGACCCACGGCCAACATTATACTTTACCGTGAGAAGCTGAAAGCTTTTCCTTTAAGATCAGGGACAAGACAAGGATGCCCACTCTCCACTTTCATTCAACATAATTCTGAAGGTCCTGGCCATGGCAATCAGATGTCACAAAGAAATAAAAGGCATCCAGATTGTCAAGGAAGAAGTTAAACTGTCCCTGTTTGCAGATGACATGATATTGTACATAAAAAATCCCTAAAGAATCCACTCCAAAACTACTAGATCTAATATCTGAATTCAGCAAAGTTGCAGGATACAGAATTAATACACAGAAATCTGTTGCTTTCCTATATACTAAGGATGAACTAGCATAAGGAGAAATCAGGGAAACAATTTCATACACAATTTCATCAAAAAGAATAAAACCCTAGGAATGAACCTAACAAAGGAAGT